GTTGGAAGCGTACATTTCGTATTTATTTAAATTAAATCCCAAATTTCTACGAATTTTTTTAATTCTGACAATGTATTTCATTGTTATAATAATGCACATTTTAAACATTAAAATATGATTTACTCTTTGATAAGGTTACCGGAAGTCGTACCCTCCAAACACTACACCGCGAGCAAAAAGTGTTAATTCTGTTAATAAGAATGAAAAAATAATAAAAAGAAACTATAAATTGCACTTTTTGTCGCCCATTTTGTTTACAATTTTGGGGCATGGAAAAATATAAATAAGAAAAACTCTATGTCTTGTAAATTAGCATTATTAGTTACATTTCAGTTATTTTTTAACTCACTCCATGCTGATAGTACAAAGTATTTATAATGTCTTTTCCCCTCTCTCTCTCTCTCTCTCTATATGTGTTAACTTGAGTATGTAATGAGTATTAATCTTTGAAGGTAAAAGGTTACATTGGGACATAGTTTTTGTCTCTCTCTCTCTCTCTCTCTCTCTCTCTCTCTCTCTCTCTCTCTCTGTCTCCCTCTCCCTCTCTCTCACACACTGTAACTTCAAATGAATCGTTTGTCGTTTAATTTAAAAGGAACGATTGGCTTCTTTGGAATATAAGTTTAATTTTGTTGCATGCGAAATGTTCTTGAAAACTTTTGCTGATCTAAAACACAGATATCACACACATATCATGCATCTATTTAGCAATTGGATGAAAGGTGCACATATTTTTTTCCGTGCAGCTGCTGGTGAGCTGCGTTTTCATTTCAAAACACTTCACTTTCTGCTGGTGCTGCTCACCTGATAAGCGCCGCAATGCGCGCATATACATTTTTTTATATATACATATATTGTACAAGTATTTCGTTAACAATTTACGTAAGCGGCGACGCTGACGTTGACAGAAGCGCCAACGTTTGCTGAAAGTAAAAGTTCTTGCGCGCTGCGCTCATCAATTAAAACGCGAACGGCAACAACTACAACAACAACAGCAAGCACTGCTTCAATGTACTCGTATGTATTTGCATTGAAAGTGCAAGTGAAAATGAAATGAAAAGCGAAATGCAAACGCACGCCGTTTGCGCCTCTGGAATGAAAATAGCAATAAAACCGAGCGAACATCGCACGATTCTCGTCTGATAACGGAAGCTAAATGCTTTGCCTTAAATGATATAATCAATGTCCTATTAGGGTAGGCAGCCAAATTGGCTTTTGATGGCTACCAATGTATATAAATCATACATGGCATTAGCATAAGCAATACAAGTATATTCAAATGAACCGAAATGAATATCAATCAGATCTGATTGAGGGAAACGCGTGGCAGATTCCACAGACATTGACTTTGACATTGTCTTTTCGCCTAGCGATAGCCCCCAAGTCGAAAATTTACAAAAAAAAAAAGCTAATAAAAAACAAGCAAAAACAGAGACAAAGTCACCAACATTTTTTTATTTAATTGATATTTATAGAATGGCTTTAGAAGATGCTATTTTTAATTAGTTATTAAATCTCGTAAACGCAGCACTAGTTTAGTGCTTAATAACTTAGTATACTTGATACATTTTGAATTTAGAATGCTTATGAAGAAAATTTATTCCAAAATCTCTGCTGATGCTTAAAATGGTAAGGAGAGAAATTTTGAAATCTTGAGGAATGTTTATCGTTCAATGTTTTAACAGCATTCAAGAATGTCAGCAAGTTTGATTAATCGAAAAACATTTTCTGAATTTGCTCGTTTAAACTGGTTAAAAATTAAAATGTCACTTCTTTTGTAAGAAATTATAGTTAGAAGCTAGAGACTAGCTAGTGAGATGATCTTGAATTATGTTGTAAAAATTGAATGCGGCCCTTAATTAACTTCAATATATTCCGATTTATCAGTCATCGTTAAAATTTTGCTTTATCTTTTCAATAATATAGAAGTTCGACTGCAAACTGATGTTAAGCCCTAAAGCAAACAAATTCGCGCTCTTTACAAATTATATACAAACTCTTATACTCTTATGTATGTATGTATAGTATGTGTACATTTGTATATGTATATTTACATCCACATATGTACATGTGTATATGCTGATAAATCCATCAAATAGTACAAGCAAATAAAAGCCTCGTGATCGTTTTCTCGCGAAGCAGCAGCATAAAAATATAGAACGCTTTACAAACTACAGAAAAGAAAAATCAAATTAACAGCAAAATTTATTGCAAAAGTCTTTGCCGCTGCTGAAAACGAAAGTTTTTTTTGTTGTTTCTAGAATGTGTGCATGTAAGTGTAAGTGTGTGTGTGTGTGTGTGTTGGCGATTCAATTTTTACACACACACATACGCGCACATCACAGAAGCAGCGGCAGCTGAGGCGGCGCCAATAAAAATTAAAAAACCCAAAAAAAAAACAACAAAAAAATGAAGAAAAGTAAAACGCTTACGACAGCGCCAGCGACCGGCCCCACACGCGCTGTTATTATTGTTGTTGTTACTGTAGCTGTAATTATTATTATTGTTATAGATAAACGTGCGAGCAAGCAAGCGAGAGAGCGAGCGACCGCTTGTTGCCTCTCCCATTCGCACCCATGGCCAAGTGAGAACATTTGCGAAAAAGTTCTTTGACGTTTTGTTTATTTATTTTGTTAAGCTGCGCGCGCCTTCCGCAGCGCGTCGCAGTCAACGTCGCCACCATTGTCGCTCTCTCAATGGCAAAGCTTTGCTGTGGAAGCTTTTTTGGATTCCTCTCTTACAACAGCAAAGAGCTTGTGCCGTGGAAGCCCCACGCTTCGCATATTCTAAACACATACTTGTATGTATGCATGCATGTATGTATGTGTATTTTTATTTGTTTGTATATTTGTAGCAATTGTTGATTTAACAACTGCCGTGCAGGAAAATCAAACTTATTGTTCTTCTTTTCAATTTTTGCAAACTCGAATTGCAATGTCAATAAGCAGAGTGCTCACTTCTTTTTTATTTGCCTAAGATAACTCTTGCTTGACTTTGGACTGTAATTGTTGTTAAAAGAAAGTGATATCTCTTTAGCTTCTGGACCAACTCTTTAGCTTTTGTCAGAAGAATTTTGAAGAATTGAATTGAAGTTGTAAGATGGTGCAGAGTAGCCTGTTGCCTTTCTGTCTAAGAACTTAAATACCGTTCAGTGGCATTGATCGCGAATTACTAGCTGCACTCGAAAAAAGACTTCGGGTCTTGCCAGTTTTGTATGGTTTATGAAGGAATTAAATTTAAAGGGGTAGGCTGGAAAGATAACATACTCGTAGTTGCAGATGCCTTTTCTTGAAGATATTAACGATGAATGTAGTTACATCTAGTTCTTAATGCCATCTTGAAAAGGCATCAGAGGAACCAGATTTAAACGGCCTGGATAGGTTTATTTACGTATATTCAAAGAGAACACGACAATCAATTCCTTGCACTTTAAAGTGACTTTCTGTCATCACTTAATTTTAAGCAGTGCAGTTTTGTATCTCTAGACACATAGCCAGCTATGATTAGAAACATACTTCTTTGTATACGTATTACCGACATATGTACATACGAGTACATATGTATGTACATTTGTGCTTGTTTGCATTTTTATGTTGCATAAATACTTAAAAGGCAGCAACAGCAATAAGCTACATAGCTTTGTTTGTTTTTTATAAATTGTACAAACATACATACATTTGTACTCGTAAGTACTACAAGTATATAGAAGGGGTAGAAAGAAAGCAAAAGTATTTCTTATCAACGACTTGCCTGGTCATGGTTTCGCCATTCAGCGATTGTTTATTTGCGTTTATTTAGAACTTTGTGCAAAGCTGTTAAGATTAAATTTAGGTTTCCAGGAATTGTAATTCGTTTTATGATGAAAAAAAATTAATTTATACAAGGGCATAAAGTCGAACGAGTATCACTAAATGCAATGCAGTGTTATTGAAACATTTACAAATTTATTCGTAATTCACAATCTGCAAATAATTTAGCCTTACAACAGCCAAAAATGTGTGTGGTCGTGGGTGTGGATGTGTGTGGGTTGTGTGCGAATTTGTAGTGATTAACAGGTTGCCAGCAGCAAAACATGGCCACAACAAATTGCAATTAACACTCCACACACACACGGACAGAAGTTGCCACACGCCTGTCACGTGTTATCGGCAAACGGAAATGCAATAAATAATTGTGTATGCCCGAAATGCCAGGGCCTAGAGATAGGCACAGCATGCATTTCAAGCACACTCGCACACGCACACACACACTCTCACCTATAAAGCATGTAATGAACAATTGTGTGTTTAATGACAAATTATCATTATTAGTCTAACATCGAACAGACGCATCGTTCATGGCTATTATGGGATGCGTAGCGTTAACAAGCCAAAGGGAAGGCGTTTCCGTTTCCGCATCCGTTGTTATAAATACATATGCAGCGCAATGATAAAAAGAAAAGAAAGATAAAGAGGGTGTGCAAAAAAATGTATGATACTTTTTGCAACACCACTCAATCAATCATTTTATTGAGATAGTTTCTCAAAGTATAGAACAAAGTTTTCATTCAATTCCCAGAAATAATTGCTCTCATTCTTTAACGTTTTAAATATCAAATAAATAAAAATGATTAAATATCTTAAAGACTGACTAAGAATCAAATTCTCAGAAATATGTAAATTACTAGAACTACAATTTAAATCAGAAAGATACAGTGAAAACTCTCTTGGTCGGACATTCACGGTCGGCCAGTTTTTGTCCGCCCAAGGGGATACTTAAATACTTTATACATCGATCGAATGTTTTAGAAAAAGTGTTAAGGGAGTTTTCACCGCATATTTTTATTTTTTCTTATCAAAAAATTCCTTTCCCATTTGTATAAAAAATATTTTATAACCGCTCTTTTTCGATATTATCACAATACTATCAAATCTATTGAGCTGTGCGTAATTATTTATCCAACCCAATAGATATAAACATTAGCAACATGCTCTAATCGTCATTATCGTCCTTCATTGCAGGTACAACACTGACCAAGGAGCTATGGACCAGCAATTCTGTTTACGCTGGAACAATCATCCGACAAATCTAACCGGCGTGCTCACCTCACTGCTGCAGCGTGAGGCGCTATGCGATGTCACACTCGCCTGCGAGGGTGAAACAGTCAAGGTAAGCAACTTTATGAATTCGTATTCTTTCAATAAATTTAATAATATTTGTACGTCTTGCCCTTAAAAATATTTAAATGTTAAAACAAATGCTTAAAATCTACATTGGTCTTAAGTCAACTGCTTTCCGAAATGATAAACAACCAATTAATCGATTTTATTTGCTCAATGTACCGTTAAAAAGCTACCCAAATATCGCTTCCTAACACTGAATATAAATATGTCATTGGTTTTCTAACATGGTTTTAACTGATTAGAAGCATTTATTGTTGCAGGCATAACAAAATTATTTTTAACAATAAACGTGATATCAAATATTTCATTAAATTAAGCTAAAACGATTGAATTATTAAAAAAGATAGAAGAGCTGATGGCAACATGGAATGCCCAATAAGTTTTCCTTATTTTATTACTAATACTAATATTCGTCTGCTCTTTTAAATAATATTTCAATTATTATATGTATTTATTGAAAATAATATAATATAATGATTGGAATATATATTTTACGTGTTTGTTTTTCCTAAAGCTTATAACATATTATGAGTATGAAGTGAAAAATTGCCCATTTAAATTTTTTGAGAGTTGTTCGTAAGCTATAGAAAAACCACTTTCAAACTATTTACCGGGAATCAATAAAAAAGTATATTTTCCATCAAAATTGTCCCGAAATGAATTTTTAAAAATATAAGAAATAAAATCTATTTGTTTTATCCCGTATCTTAATTCTTATCAATTAATATGATCCATTTTTGGAAATAATGTAATATTATGTTGCTTGCAGGCACATCAGACCATATTGTCAGCATGCAGTCCATATTTCGAGACGATTTTCCTTCAGAATCAACATCCACATCCCATCATCTACTTGAAAGATGTCAGATACTCAGAGATGCGCTCCCTGCTCGACTTCATGTACAAGGGCGAGGTGAATGTGGGCCAGAGTTCGCTGCCCATGTTTCTGAAAACCGCCGAAAGTCTGCAGGTATGTCGAAACACTAACCACTAATTGGAGGTCTGAGTGTAACGCAATTCGTTTCGATTTCATTTCGCAGGTGCGCGGTCTCACAGATAACAACAATCTGAATTACCGTTCGGATTGCGACAAACTGCGCGACTCCGCAGCCAGCTCGCCCACAGGACGACCCAACTACAGCGGACTGGGCGTGGGTGGCGGTGTCGGTGTCGGCGGCGGCGGCATCGGTGGCGGCGACACTGTTCGAGAATCGAGGGAATCGCTGCGCTCCCGCTGTGAACGCGAGCTGCGCGACGAGTTGACGGCAGCGGCGCACTCTCAGCGCAGCAGCAGCAGTCTGAGCGAGCGTAGCTCGGCGGCCGCAGCCGTGGCTGCTGCTGCGGTGGCCGCTGCTGGCGGCAATGTAAACGCAGCCGCTGTTGCGTTGGGTCTGGCGCCCAGCGCCGGCGAACGATCTCCAAGTGTGGGCAGCGCCAGTGCAGCGGCCGTGGCGGCTGCAGTTGCTGCGGCTGCGAACCGCAGCGCCAGCGCCGATGCGTTAAATAGTCGTGGGGATCGCGGCGACGCCTGCAGCGATCGTGGCAGCGAACGCGGCACTCTGGAGCGTGCCGACAGTCGTGATGAGCTCTTGCAGTTGGATTATAGCAACAAGGACAACAACAACAGTAATAATAGCAGCAGCAACAACAACAATAACAATAGCAGCAGCAACAACAACAACAACAACAGAGAGCGCAACAACAGCAGAGAGCGTGAGAGAGAGCAATCGAGCACGCCGGTGGAGCATCTAAGTAGTAGTAAGCGCAGACGTAAGAACTCATCCAACTGTGATAATTCGTTGACCTCGACGCACCACGCGAATGCGGCCCATGTACAGGACAGGCACTATTCGCAGCAGGACTCTCAGGTGAGTGGCCCCAACCTCACACACTATAATTGCCATTCGCCATAATTGTTTAATTCAAAAGGCTGTTTTGCATAATTGGTCTAAGCCCAGAATGTGGCAGGCTGGGCCCTAGCGCTTAAATGTTTGCGCAATTAAAATAAATCGTTTTTTGTTAGCCTCGCTGTTTTTTTAATGGCCACAATTCAATTTAATTAGGAATTATGTCGCATCAAATCAAGCATCAAATATTTATTAGCTGCAGACACACAGTAGTTAATTACTATAATTATTTTAAACGCACTTTTTTTTAAACTAGGGAACAGGCAGGACCATCCCTTTTTCGTATTTTGCAATAATGTTTGTGTGATGTTAAAGCTTAACTCTTTAACTGCATATGTGGAACCATATATTAGAGTTAAAATCGATTGAATTCTAACAATATAGTATGATTGTTATAGATATTTGAAGATTTCGTATACTCTATAATAATCCACAAAGAACCTTCTCTTACTTTTACGTATAGAAGTATATCGATAAATCAAAACAAATTAGAAAATATTCTTTAAACATACAATATCATTGTTAAAGTCTTTCTTTTTAATCTTTATTCTTCATTTAAGAAATGTCCTAAGCAGAATGTTAAAGTCTGAACGGAAATGTTATATTAGAAATCAAACTGATACAAATCGAACGATAATTATGTTATTTGCTATCAGCCGTGTCACTGTTGCACTAATCAAATATCGATAGGTTGGCGAGGTACACTCGCAAAAGAAAATAGGAAGAAATAACAGGACATTTTTGAAGCGCACAGTCTTTCTTTATATATATGTGAAATTTATACTTAGTATGTACATTTTTTCACATCTACCGACAGCAATTAAATAGGATTAATAAATAATGTTAAGAATCTTGCTTAGCCTTTTATTTGTTGTACTTAAATACTTAAATACAGCTTTGAACATCGTATTTTTAAAATTAAAATTATTTATGATGATATGAACTTATGACTCTATTACCATTTCATATTCCTTCGGACCAACATTATTAATACATACTACAAGTATTTGTCGTTTCAGTCTTTTTTAAAAGATTGATTTTGGATCCCAAATCATAATAATCTCTAGACTGCATTTTTGCCAATTCTTTCCTTTTATCGCTTTTTTATGCGCTACATTTTCTAGAAAATTTTACGCGCATATGTATTTCGAAAAAATGAACTCAAAAAGATGGATCTTATGGAGACTTTCCTTTATTTTTTTGTAGAAAATGCAACTAACAAGCATTTTTCTTGTATGGTCATTCAAAACCTCATTTAGAACCATTTACGTCATTTGTAATGCACTTACAAATTATTTATATACTCTCAAATGAGCTTCATTTTCGAAATTTCAAATCTACTTCAATTTTATCTAAATTTATATCATTAACGAAATTGTAAAATTTCCCAGCATTCTAAATATCCTCTGAAGCAATTCTAAATCAATTTGTTATTCAGAGATTTTTGTTTAACCATATTTCTCAACTTTCTGTATGTGGATTATATGCTATATATTTTATACAATATATGTTGGTCAATTTTTTATTGAGCCAAGTCACGAAGAGCTTTAGTTCGCTCAGTTGTTGTTCTATCAGCTGCTCAAGTGATCTAAATATATAGTATGCTAAGTATAAGCTATTTCTGTGTTGTTGATACAAACGTCCGCTACTATCCGTATCGGCATATTCGAGTCAGTTCGCATCCACTTATTACCAATGGGTAGGTAGCCACAAACATACACACATACATGCGTACATACATATGGGTACGTGCCTGTTAAGGTGGCACGTGCCGCGCTCTCGCCGCACAATCAAACATACGAAACAAGCACACTGTAGGGTGCAGGGGCAGATATTTTTTATAGCAGAGTGCAAACAGTTCTACATACATATGTATATACATATGTATGTGCTTATTTTTGACATTGTAACCACTGATAAGATGTGCGATAAGCATACTCATAAAAAAATGCCATCAGCGGTAACATTCTGAATTGAACGTCATACCAAAATTTCACTTTCAAAATAAAAACAAACACTTGAGTTTAAAGTGCTTCAGCACCTATTTTAATAATATTCAAATATTGTTGCATTTAAGGGGGCTTACCATCTACTTTAGTGCCCACACAAGTTGAAGTCTAGATAAGCCCGCACATCCCGAGATGTGCGTCTGAGATGTGCGGCCCTTAGGACCTACTCCATCATACCATGTCCCAGAAAGATCTACCTATTTGTATCTACAAATGTATCTGAAATGCCTAGGATAGTGGAGCCCAATTTTCTCAACTCTTACCGTTTGGGCTGTACACCCCAATAATTCAGTCTCCAAGAAAAAAAATAAAAAACCGAGTTTGCAGTTTTGTTTGTATTCTTTTATTAAATTTAAAATTTATTTTAAAGTTGAAAAATGCGGATTTTTAGCAAAACTTTGAAGCTCGATTTCCCCCCTTTGGAGCTTGAATTTTTCAAAACCGCTTCTTATCGTCCACATTAGCTCTTACCGTCTGGACTGTGCGTCGATCACCAATCAATCGAATATATAGATTAATAGTGTTCTGTATTCCAGAATATACTCGTTCAATGAACCATGCTGGCTTCTGCTATCTTCTCCGCTATCTTAGTCAGCTCCACTTCCTAAGCTATGCAGAATTTCTTAGGATTTTTTGTTTATTTTATATAACTGTCTATTTTTTCAACAACAATAACACAAACTTGATTAAATAATGAATGGATGGACTTTATTCAAATCGTATTCGAACGTTGCCAGTCGAAACCATTTACATTTTTGTTAATTTAATTTCTTTTTTTGGTCGAAAAAAAATGAAAAAAAATTATAAGAAAAAATATTTAGGAAAATACACAACAACAAGTGCAAATCAAAATTTATTTAAATATATCAAGAATGAGACATTTCTGTTAACAGCACATCTTAAGAAAAGCTTAACTAACTCATGGAAGGAAGAATTAGCCAAGATTTGTCAAGATTTGCGTTAAACTAGATCCTAGTATCCCTTGTTTCAGTTAGAAGGCATCTGCTTAAGCCACGCATTATAGGGACTTGAAAAACTATTTCTTTGCGGTTACAGAATTCTAATAAAATGTAAATAAAGGTACAGCAACATGAATTGTGTTTTTTTCATAAAATGTTATATGTATTATATACATTTATATCGTATTCAGTATCGAGAATTGTCGGCTAGTACTCTTAAGACTTATTACTATAGAGCAGCTAGGATATTAGCTTTTCGATCTGCATTTGGTTTCATATTCGCAAAAATTACATTAAAACCAAAAGAAATATTTTCAAAACTGTGCCCAGTTGCCATTTTCTCCCCAAAGTTGTATTCGATTTCTCAGTATGTTAAGTTTATTGATAGCCTGATGTCTGATAATCGGTTGGACTAGATCGACTAACTAATCGTTGATTATTGCTTGCAGGCCACCGCACACAGCAACTTCAAGTCGAGTCCCGTGCCAAAAGCTGGCGGCAGCACCTCAGAGAGCGAGGATGCGGGCGGCAGGCGCGAGTCGCCTCTATCTATGGTAGCGAGTCATCTGGTCAGTGGCGGCAATGTGGGCGCGGCCAGCGCGCTCAGTGGTCTCAGTCAGTCGCTAAGTATTAAGCAGGAACTGATGGATGCCCAGCAACAACAACAGCAGCGTGAGCATCACGTTGGCTTGCCACCCGAATACTTGTCGGTAAGTCACCCCAAACCCACCCCAACCCATCGACTCAACACCCCACCCACCACTTTTTATTCACCTTACGCCCGAATTTCAATTTCTTTCAATTTTTGCCATTTTTTGTTTGCCAAGTTTAATTTTTGTTATTGTTAAGGTTTTTTCTTTGGACCGGTGCGATGGTTCCAATTACAAATACCATTACCATTACATATTTTTGTTGAAGCTTCAATAACTACTCGATTCTATACAAATACATATTACAACAATAATGATTAAATATTGTAAGCAAAAGCCAATTGCAAAATGCTTTCAACTGCGTCCACATACTCGTAGTCAGTCAGTCGTATGCGTCGTTATTTGTAAAATTTAAGAAAAACGCGTAAAGCAACAAATTCAGATGGCGAGGAGAACGAAGGATTGGTTGTTTGTTTAAATCTTATAATGCAACAATTTGTTAATGCCTGAATTACCAAAAGAATTCAAAAAATGTGTGGGATATACATATACATACGTTCGAAACTCTTTCGAAATAATTAAAATTCGTTTCATACGCAAAATTTCACGTTAACAGAGGAAGATTATTTTAAAAAAATGTACATTTTAAAAATAAAATTAAGCAAAAAGAATATAAAAAATTTTAATAACAATAAATTAGATAAAAATGCATTTAAAAAAAAAACTGAAATTAACAAAAATTAACAATACTTCAAATAAGTAATTATACTTATTTACAAGTTCAACCATAAAAAATTAAAACAATTAAAGAAAATAAAGTAAATTAAAACTATACAAAAATACAGTTACTGAAAATTAAAAAATACTTCATTTTAATTAAAAAATAATAAATAAAAATTAAACTTTTGTAAGAAATATAATTTTTAAATTAAAAAAAAATAAAACCAAAAATTATAGTTAATAACAAGTATACTATTAAAAATTTAAAATAATAAAATGAACAAAAATATAAAAAGGAAATTTAAATAATTTGAATAAAATTAAACATCGTAAAAAGAAATAAAAATTTAATTTAACAATTTCTAAAAATTAATAAAAATATCTTTTTTGGAGTAAAAAAAATAACAATTAATAAAATTTCAATTAAATAAGAAATTAAATTAATTAATTAAATAAGAATTCAAACTAATAGCATTTTTAAAAATTATAATTTAAAACAATGACAAGTAATAATAATAATAAATTTATTGAAAATTTAGAATCGAAATATATATATTTTTTAATGCATACAAAATTTATATTGAAGTAATAATAATAATAATTTTTAAATGGACTTTCTCCGTGAAAAAAAAAACTTCCTTTTATTAATTACAAATACCCCAACCCTTAATAAGACTCAACTTGAAAGAATTTGAACAACTGTAAAGATTATATTTGAAAAATATAATCTGTATGCAAATTTATTGAGTAAATAATAAATTGCTTAAAAGAAAACTAAGGAAAATTCATTTTATAACATTTAAAATAAAGTAATATTGAATAATATATAAATACACTATTTATCAATTTATAAAGTATATTCACTAACTTAAACTAAATTTTCAATTAATATACTGAAAACTGAAAATTATATTTCATTATTCAAAAATTAAATTTGAAAATATATAATGTAAAAAAAATGTAAGAATGAACGTTAATTAAGTGAAAAAAATGATATAAAATGAAATTAAAGAGTATACTCCCAATGTGAACATTTTTTTGGCATTAGCTAGGCATTAGCATTATTCGAAATTCGTACGGAATATCGGCCAAGAAAAAGAAAAAATCTCAACAATTTTACAACGTTCCAATGTTAGTTGTAAATCAAATTCAATTAATGCTGAAAGAAAGCTTAGCTCGAAAACAGCAACGAAAACAGCGCAAATCCTTCCTTCTACAATAGCTTGAACAAATTGTTTTACCATTTTTCTTAGATTAATTCTATTTCCCCAACCACTTTTTTTTTGTTTTTGTTTTTGCTCCTGTTTGTTCATTTGCTTCTGTTACTGGACATTACTGTGTATAGCCGAAAGCTTGTAGCAACAGTAACAGCAACAGCAACAACACAAAAGACAAAGACACAGCCAGCTTGCAACAGTTGCTGCTTCAGCAAGCGGTAGAGGCGCAGCTAAAGAGCTTGCAACAGCATTCTACTTGGTATCAGCAACCAGATGCGCTCGATACGGCCGTGCAGCGTTTATTGTTGCAGCAACAACAACAACTAAACCAACTAAACCAACAAAACCAACAACAGCAGACAGCAACGAGTACACAAAAATATGGCGCCAGCAGCGCCTCAAACGCTACAAAATCCTCCAACATTTTATCGGTGCTCGGTCCTCCAGCGCCGAGCAATCCGGGCTCCCGCAAAAGCGGACGCTTCCGCTCGAACTGGCTATATCAGTTCGATTGGCTGCAGTACGACGAGAGGGCCAATACCATGTACTGCAAGCATTGCCGCAAATGGTCCACCGAACTGGCCGACATACGCACCTCCTTCGTCGAGGGCAACTCCAACTTTCGCCTGGAGATTGTCAATCATCACAACAAATGCAAATCGCATCGTCTCTGCTATGAGCGCGAGCTGCAGGAATGCCAGCTGCAGTCCTCCAGCAGTATCGTCGCCCTCGAGACCAATCCTAGCACCTCAGCTCAAGGGGCCAAAATGCAGAAACGTCGCACCCCCGACGTCATCACCATCAATGTGGGCGAGGATAATGTCTAGCCAGGTCTAGCCCGTGCTTCTGCCCACAGCCTTACAGCCACACTCAGGATTATTAGTTGTAGTTGTGCCTAGTTATATGTACCTACTAGCTATAAAGCCACCATTTCGACCTAGACTGTAGACTGTAGACATTCGTTTTTAGTGTTAATTTTTAGTTGTTAGTTGTTTGTGAATCCTATTTCTAAGTTCTTATGAAAGCATTTTGCAATTGACGAATAAAACTTTTGCTTTAGACCAACACAGTCTAAATACACTTTAAATAAAATAGTGTTGTTCCTAATCTACAGGAAATCGTCCCAAAGTCTATATAATAAAACGCTTATTTCTGAATAACACCCACATATACTAAAACAATTAAAACTGAAACTAATTAACATGAAATCAAGAAATCAATTTAAGTTTTCTTTAAACTTAAAGTGCCAGACTTTTCATTCAGACTTTGTCTTTCTCTTCAAAAGCCTCAATAAAACATTTTGATTTTCATATTTGTAACGCTTCCTTTTTATTGAGATAATTACAGAAAATCGTCCCAAAATCAATATAATAAAACGTATTTCTAAACAACTCTATAGGCCGCCCACATATACTAATTAAAACTGAAACAAACCAAATGAAATCAAGAAATTAATTTAAGTTTTCTTTAAACTTACAGTGCCAGACTTTTAATTTAGATTTATTCCAGACTTTTAAAATAGTGTCTTTCTCTTCAAACGTCTCATTAAAGAATTGCCACCTTTTCAAAAATGCTTCTTTAATGGTATTCTATGACTGCTAATTCAAGAAGTCATGGTCATTTCGAAAAACAGAAAAGCTCTCTTTTCGCATCATAAAAAATTGTTTTTTAAAAAGGAATTTCTACAGATATGAAAACTAATTTTCAAATTTCAATTTTATTAAACATTTACCATTTCCGACTTCAAATTCGGTCAAATGTGTCCATAACGGTTTTGTTATACATATTTCTTGATTTTTGCAACAAAGGTGAAAATAAATCATTTTTGTGAAATAAACTCCGGCAGTGCTTTCGTATTCGAACATAAATAAACAAGTGTATAATGGTTAATGATAAAGGTAACTTACCAACTATTGAAAGACAGAAAACTCAATCTTAAAGTAGAAAAGTCCATGATTTTGTCAACTTACTGGCATAAACTGCAAACTACAATAATGAAATAAAATATGATTTAAGAAAACACAAATTAAATAAATAAATATATGCTTAAGTAAAGCCACCTGGCGTTGCCATACTCTAAGCTAATGCCATGCCTTAACTTTGTTCTGTTGCCACTTGTTTCCAACAAATTTGTCTGCATCAAAAAAAGTTGCCAGACTGCAGAAGAGCGAAGGCTAAAATTTTTGTGAGGTGTCTGGCATAAACTGCTAACATAGGGTTTGCTTACAGAGACGATTTTCTATAGTGTAGTAGAACAAAACTCTAGTTTTTTTTTTTCGTTTGTCCTTCTCTGTACAGTTTACACATTTATTGAAAAACTTTATAATATTTTCAATTACAACGGTTTGGCCATTTCTTTTCGCTTTCTGTCTCTCCCATCCACCACAAAACAAAAAACAAAAAAAAAAAACAATAAAAAAATGACATCTATAGAGCGCCGCTGCTCTGAAATTGCACGCCGAGGATATGTCCACGTTGCTCTCACAGCATGCCCTGCAAGGAGCTGACACGAGGGAGGAGCACAACGATGCCAAGCAAATGCCACTCGACCAGACCGACAATATTGACGGTGAGTACTGAAAAGCCAATGTTCAAGTTCTAATGCTACTCTTTTGTGCTTTTAACCCGAATGCACTCGAAACAAAAAACAAAAAAACAAAAAAGAAAAGAAAGTATTAAGAAATTTGCGTATGTAATTTGTGTTTGTAAACTTTTTGTTTTTCCTCACGCGAATATACTCGTACAAGAGGAAGAAGTAGTCGCGTCAAACGACAATTGTAAAAAGAAAATGTAGCAAAACCGTAGCTTCAATTCCTCTCCCTATATACTTGTATGTATTTAAAGTACACTTTTAACTTTCCTCTAACAATTAGCTCTAGACATACTCCTCAACGCCATGCTACATAACAATCGCGTTTAGAGGGCATAATTACATGTATATAGCGTAGATTTGGAGAATTGATTAATTGTACGTCTCTCTAATGCTATTGGATTGAACAATTTTCAACAAGTTTCCCTTTTCCGCGAAAGCAGCTACATGTAATTTTTTCAAGCTGTACGGCAAGCATTTTCCTGCATGAATATCCTGTTTACACCGACCCCCAACCCCTTCCCCCCCCCCTCTCCCTCCGCAGACCGTACACACTTTTCATACAAAATACAAATATAGCAAGAAATTCTCTTCCTATATCTGTCGCTCGCGGTGCACTTGCGTATCTTTAATTTGTAAGCTTCCCTGAACAAAGAGCTCTTTATACTTCATTTTCCCTTCTTATGCTTGTGTAAGTATTTTTTTGATTTCTCGTGTACTATACTATATTTATTTTATTGCTACCCCCACACCCTATCTACCTGCCTCGCTACCCCCTCCCTCCCTCTCTGTTTACTTTAAGTCAGTTATTTGAGTGAAAAAAAAGAAGCAAAACCTTTCAACAACATATCAGAAATGAATAAACTAGTTAGAGCAACAGATCAACACCTCTCCTACCAAATAGTTTAATTTGTACAATCATTTGTTGTTTGTCGTATTATATATAGTTTTATATATTCTGCCAATACATACTATATCGCTGTATTATTGTGTATGGTATTCTATTATAGTCTTAGCTAACTTATCGTATATAGTTACGGTTTAGTTTCTGTATGCTGTGAAGCATGTTGCATGTCTATATGTATATATGTATACATACATATATATTTTTTCTTCCTTCGACGCATACACACGCCCACCTACTTATTAATTTTTTAAAATTTGAATCATTCAATTAATTCAATTAAATATTATTTACTCTTCACTTCCATTTCCCTTACTTTAGTCTTAAGTTTTTAATTTCTTTATCGAATATTATTAGTTTTAGAAAATGCCTCCGTTGATACACACCTACATACATACCACACACAAGAATTTTTTCTATTGAAGCAAATTGGTCGTCACACACACACACACCCACACTACTACATATACTATGAATAAATAAATAAAAACTAAATCGACTACAAATTGAAATTTTATGAAATCAAAGGCTTTACCAGACACATACACACGCCCATGCCTCACAGACACACACACAGCGCTTACCAACACTGCGCGCGCTGATCGCTCGAAATTATTCTTGCGCACTAAAACAGATCGATCGATCGATCGTTCGATAATATTTTTGCTTGAAATGTTGGAAAGGGCATATAAGTAAATTCGTAATATTCGTTTTCTTAAATGCTTTGTTTGGTTCCTTAATTTTGAATTCCTTCTATTTTTTTTTCATTGTCATTTCGTAATTCACGCCATTTCTGTGCCAAACTAAAACCGAAAACCCTTAAAAATTTTTCAACTCTATTTTCGTCTTTAATGTTGCAACTTATTGTCTAAGAAAATAAAATAACATATATAAAAAAAACAACAAAAAACCACACAAAATTCTATAACTTCAGCAATTGTCCAAGATTTACTCAAATTTTGAGTGTTGGTAAGAATTTCGAACAACAACAAAAAAGAAAATACACAAAACTGCCGCAGTGCAGAATTCAATTTGTTCTTATTTCAATACAATATCTGCTACCTAATTTCTTCTTTTGAATATTTCTACTAACCCGATATAATTTTTCCAATTTATTTCTTTGAGATCAAATCACATTTGCCACACTGTTTAACGAGATGTAACTGACTGTCTGTTCGTTTAAATTGGTATTTCAAGCTACTAAATGTTTTTTCCAATATATCTTTTATGTTCTACATATATAAATATAAATATCTATATATGTGTGTGTGTGTGCGTGTCTGTGTGTGTGCATATGAGTGCGTGTATGTGTGTGTGTGTGTGTGTGTGTGAAAAAAGTCGTATCCCCGCCCAAGAAAGCAACATTTGAAACGGTAAAAACAACGCACATTGGCTCCAAAGTTTGCGCACAAATGACAACAAAAAGTTATAATTATTAAAATTATAATAATAATAATAATAATGAAAAACGTAATAAACGTAACTAGCTGTTACACGTATTATTAAAAATTTCCCAACTTAGGCACCAAAGTGAACTAAAAACAAACATGAAATTAAACAAAGAGAACTGGAATTTGTGAAACCATTCCGAAATGATTGTGAAATCGAATTTGTTGCAACATTGAAGTACCAAAAATGAACAAAAAGAACATATATATTGAATAAAAATATATATATACTTGTATATATTTCTATATATATCCAACATTATAGCCCAACATAAGTTAATTGATGATGAATTGTATTATAATTCGCAAAGCCCATCAATTTTTACGCCACAAATGACACAAACATGCGAGTTATTATATTTTATTTTATTATGTATTTCGTTTACGCTATTGTTTCTCCTTAATGCCATTATACAATTGTTCTTTTTAGCTGACTTGTTTAATAGCTATTTTCCTCTTATGAAACCTGCCTTTAAATACAGTACCAAACAAGACAAATGCCGTAAAAAAGAAAACAGCCAAAAGCAAACCGAACCAAACCAAACCAAACAAACCATAGCTTTAAGTCCAGCCTTATTTATTTGTATGTCAATTGATTTATTAAATTTTTTTTTCAATTTTACAACCGAAACTGTTCCGAATACAACAACATAAAAGCTATAAATACGTTTAATGCCACATACTATTACTGTTGATTTATTATGATTACGAATTGTTTGTATATTTGATTTGAAAGCCATATTCAACCCGCAATTAGCAACAAAAGCAACAACTACAAAAAAAAAAACAACAACAACCAGCTAGTCAGCCACCAAATCCTTTGCCAATGCGTTATTCTTTATTGCAATTCTGTTATGTTCCATTTATGCCTTCAATACTCTACCACAAAACATTCACACGCTCTATAAACTTATATATATATATATAGTTGTTTCCAAAACAAACAAAAATGCTATACAAAACCGAAATGAAATTGTTAATAAGATGCTACTACATACTACCTACTACATACTATATTTATATCCAACTACCCAACGATACATTAAAGAGCCACAGAAAACCATTTTTTGTAGTTGTCTGTTGTTGAATTCGTTTGCATACCATATACTATAATACCTACCTACCTACATACATTATATACTCGTACAAGTTTCGTTCCAAACCCTCCACAAAATGACCACCAATGCCTATCTAATACATAGAGTTCAACTCACAAAGCAACAAAAGAAATATAAAAAGAAAACTGGGACCACAGATCAGCTCAACATATTACTAGCGCTAATATGCGAACAGTATATCCGTTTTTAGCTGCCACTGATCCATAGGGTATCAGTAGAATCGGTCAACTATTTACTTACTATTTCATTTCAATTTTTCTCTCGTTTGCATCGCTGTTTTGTTGAATTGATTGAAATTTACTTTTATGTTGGCAACATTCTTTGGGGGCTGCCAACTTGGCCGAAAAGTGTCAAATTTCTTTATAATGTATAGCTTTCAAAAGTTGAGTTTATATCAAAAATTTACAGAATTGCCAACAGTCATTGTTTTCATTATCGAATAGTAGGTCCAAAATAAGAATAATTGTCCCAAATTGTAAATTAGCTCTAGTTAAATATAATACTACAAATATCTCTGTAGAAATCGACGGAATCAACTGCATAGATATCATATATATCCAAGATATAAAATCTGCAATACATGCGATAAGTTTTATCATGTTACATATCTCTGTAGAAATGCGCAGAATATGCAGCAGAGAAAGTTTTATATCTACAAAAATACATCATTTCTGCAAAGAGATGTCAGTTTTTTTAGTGTCAATTTATTGATTAATATTATGAAATGCTCAGTCAATTAACAAAATATCTATATATATACGAATATATTTTTTTAAGTATCAAAACTGTATGCAGACTAGAGCTGGGTCTTCCCACTTGCTTTCAATAGTATCGCAATTTTTTAATGGCCTGCAAAAGAAAAAAAAAGACTAAAGAACAAAGCCAAAGAACAGCTGATGCAGTCCAAGTAGTCACCATAGGGAACTCAAAAAAAAAAGAACCAAGTTTCACTTCAGAAAAAAAGTGTAGCCCAATTAGTAAATAAAATGATTTCCATTAAGGTATTAGGGCTTTTCATTTGGAACCTATGCTTTGAGCTCTACTTGTATAGGAATTCTTTTTATTAAAAAAATAATAAAGTTTGTTAAAATATATTCGACATCAGGCATTCTAATTCGTAAGCAAATTAATTAGATGGATAACGAAAAAGTAGCAATAAAAGCGCTTTAGTATTATCAATAACATCTAGTTTTGGAAAGCAATTAATAATATACATTTTATTGAATTTCCCTTAAAGTTCTCACAAAATTCGTCATTAGGCTATGTTTACACGACAATCAGTCTTTAGTTGAGCCATGAAATATGGTGCTGCGGTCCCAGCTGTTGTGAGAGCCTCTATGTATGAAATATTCAGTATTGGGTATATAGCTATTATAAAGAACTTTGTTGCTGTTCAAAACAAATACTCGACTTATAATTAGCAAGAGCCCTAGAAATTAATTGGCCGGAGCTCGCTGTGCGCATGGAATGTAAACGAGAGCGCAACACTGGCATTGCATTCCATGGCTGCATGGTAGAAAAGACTCACCCACACCCACAAAACCACACACAACAAAACTCGCTGGCGAAATCCCAACAACAACAACAAAACATAAACAGAAATAGAAAACCAAGAACAATTAAATCCTTCACAGTGATAACGCATTATACGAAACGCCAAATGTTTGCAGGTCGCGTTAAATGTTTTAACAATAATCACTTAGATGGCGCCAATGGGAATGGTAACGAAAACGATGGCGATATGGATGGTGAGGACGAGGATATGGGCATGAGCAATCAGCTGCTGGAGCATGAGCTGGGGGCCTATCATTCTGGTGTGCCCAAATATCGCCGCGCTGTGGTCTATGCCCCAACCCAACCCAGCGACGAATCAGCCAACCCAGCCGATATGTATCTAGATAACAATTACAATTGCGAGTACAAGTGCAAGGAGCTGAATATGCGTGCCATACGCTGCAATCATCGTCAGCAGCAACAGCAACAGCCATCATCAGCGCATCATCATGCGCCTTTGCATCCGCAACATTTGCCGCCACCGCATGTGGCAACTGCGGCGCAGACAGCTCTTAATTTGGGCCGTCATGGCGAGTCCTTGTGCGCTGCCGAGGCCGCCTATTCGCCCGCCACAGGCACCACTCATCCACATCTAAGCTACGCGGCCGTCCAGCAATCGCCCACGGGCAGCAACTCTCAACAGCAGCAAAGCCACCACCAGCTGGAGTTGGCCCATAGTCATGGCCATGGCTATGGTGGCCATCATGCTCATCATGCGCGCTCCAACACCCCGCACTACCAACGCGCCACCTCACCACTCTCCCCCCAGCCCACCTCATCATCGTCCGCATCGGCTAGCAGCTCGTCCGCTGCGGCAGCTGCGGCCGCAGCAGCAGCGGCAAATCGACGGGATCACAATATCGATTACTCAACACTGTTTGTGCAGTTATCGGGCACTTTGCCGACACTGTACCGATGTGTCAGCTGCAACAAGATCGTCTCGAATCGCTGGCATCACGCCAACATACATCGGCCGCAGAGTCACGAGTGTCCCGTCTGTGGTCAGAAGTTTACGCGACGCGACAATATGAAGGCCCATTGCAAGATCAAGCATGCCGATATCAAAGATCGCTTCTTCAGTCATTATGTACATATGTGATCACTTCTCTAGATAAATACGCGTACTTAGTAGGAATCCACACCATACCGCAGATACGTACTTTTTCTTTGATGCGTGTCGAAAACAGTTTTAGAAAACTTTTAATGTTATACGATTCTTAGAACTAGGCCTTACACGAGTAGTTTTATTCCTTAAATAATGTCCACCAACTCTTCAGAGCTCTAAAAGCAAACAATTATATACATATACTTACATATATAGTATATATATATATATATTCAATTTATTCGTATTTGTATTTAAATAACTTTTCAAAAGCTCTCATTATACAACAACCTAGTCATGTGAACTGGGCTGCTAATTAGGCTACGTTTACACGCCCGTTGACAATTGTCAATAGTTGACGGCACATTTGAAACATTAGACGTGTAAACTAGGAACTTAAACACCATTGCACTGTTTAATTAATATTGAATGAATTTTTCCTGTGCAATCAAATCAAATCAAATCTTAAAACGAAACGGTTTTCAATTCAACAAGTAATATTAATCCCAAATCAAATGAATATTATACACATATTTAACATACTTATATTAAACGGCAAAACGAAAAGAACAAAAGTTGTATGTTGCAAAGACAGCAGCCATTTTAAGCAAAATCAAAATATTTTATTACATCGTACGAATATCTAGTTAACTTAAAGACTTTATATATTATTGTTATTAATAACCTTTAGACGCTTTTTCCATTGAGACCGGCACTCAGAAACCAACCAACAAACAAACAACAAATATCAAAAGTATTACACTTAGAATTCCAATTTTACTTCCAATCAATGTTTATTTTTATGTTTATTTATAACATTTACCATGTGCTGTAGTGAACTAAATTTGTTTGTTTGTTGTTGTTTATTTCTTTCAACTTTTGTTAGCAAAAGATTTCTAGAAAATAATTAATAGCTTAGAAAACTATCAAGCAATAGCAAAGCGCACTCAGAAAATAGCGACGAAAGCTGAAAATTAAGATGAAAAATTCCTTAATATTTTATTGACATGAAAAAAGAAGTACAGAATACCAGAAATGTACTGATTTATTCAAACAAAATTGTGAAAAAAGGTATTGCAAAATTCACTGGTTTCCAATATTGAAGTGGTTTCTATACCAAAAACCAATTTTGTTTCATTTCAAAAAATACCAATTTTATTTCTGGAATTAAATAAACATTGAACAGTTCTTGGGTATTTATTGACATACAAAAACAAGTACTGAAAATACCAAAAGAAAATTGTTTAAAAATTCAAACATTTCAATTCCAATTCAAACATATTGAAAACTTCTTCGGTATTTTATAGACTTGCAAAAGAAGTACTAATAATACCAAAAGAATGAATATTATTTGAATTAACTCAAATATATTGATAAATACAGCAGTATTTTCTACTAAAAAGCACTGCAAATACCAAAAATTAAGGGTTTCAATCAAAAACCGAAAACTTTGTGGAATTCAATGAAACATTTTTGGTAACTATTTCAAAATGTTGCTTGCAAATGCGTTTTCTGAGTGAGAAGAATAACAATTTAACATCCTCGTTGATTTCCAAGCAAAAGAAAATCAACGAGACTGGCAGTACAACAACAACAACAACAAAATAGAAAGAAAGGCAAAAACCACACAACGACTATTTAATAATGATGCTAAAAGTAAGAGGAAAGAAACTCTAATGTTTGTGTCAACCATGAGGCTAAAAACTATAATGCAATCCATAAGCTTGCACAATTTCGACTGCACAAAGTGTTGGTGTTAACCATAATGGGCCCCTCGAACACCCAACAGATGTGCTGAGAAATTATGCCTCCCCACTCGTACTATCTTTGGCTAAACACCCACCGAAGTGAATATTTTGCATCAGACGATTTGAATGTGTTTCGCTTTTGAATTATAAGTACTAGCCATTGAAGCTCTTCAAAAGCCACATACTTATTACTCACAGTGTATGGTGCTTTAAAATATTGACAAGCACACACACATACACACACCCACACACACACGTACACAAAAGCAAAATGATATCTTTAAGCAGCAACAACAACAAGAACAAGAAAATAAAATACCAAATACATAACATCTTTAACTTTACTTAATAAAACTCTTTGAAATCAAATTCCAGTTCTTTTCATTTAATATTTTTCGAATGAAGAAGAAGAAGAGTATCAAAAGTTGTTAACTTATTCATAGGTACTAAAAAATTTCGACACAAACTATTCCGAAAATAAATATATATATGAAAAAGAAACTTTTTTAAAAAATAACTAGAAGCGCACCCTATAAACGGTAAGTTGAATTTTCTAAGATCATTTTAAGCACCCATTTACAAATTTTTTACTATGTATAATAAATATTTACTTTAGTCACGTTTTATTAGTGCTAAATGTCTAAGCTACGTATTCCGAAAACCCTAACTTTATGTATGTTTTTCTTTACCTAAAACAATTCTATGCAAAATCAGAAAAATTTGAAATTGGAAAACGAAACGAAAAAAAAAACAGGAATTGGCCACACGATTGAAAATTTGTACTCCATTTGTTTTAGAAATTCTTGCTCCGACTCGCTATCATACTCTTACTCTCCCTCTCTCTCACTCTCTATCTGTCTATATATCTATCTCTCTATATACCTCTATTTCTGTCGTCACTATCGTCTTATACGCGCTCTTATACAAAAGTTCTAATTGTTTTTATTTTAAAATCCTTCATTCTGTTTTGTAAGCAGCAGGCAGGAGGGGTGTTGAAAATATGTGCAAAGTTTTTATGTTGCTGCGCTACAAAGAAATGTTTTTTGAAAACACAAACCTAAAAGATATTTACTAAATAATTTTCGTTCTTTCTATCAATTTGTTTGGCGCCTAACTCAGCCATGTTCTTTTTTTGTTATTAAAAAGCCGTTCCTATATACTCTATTACTCACTTAAAAACACATCAATATCTACATATATACTATAAACTATATAAAGGAAAATTCGACCCTCTATGTAAATTCACAAACTAGCCAACCCTATCGACAAACAAAACCAAAACGAATATCAATTACTATAACTAATCCGGTCTGGGATCCTGAAAATAAAACACAGCTACAACAACAAAAATTAACAGTTTAGATCCAAACAAAAAAATATATAAAATAAAAACAAAACCTACACACACACACACATACATTCACTATTAAAAACATTAATTATAAATAGTATTTAATTTCAAAGTGCTTCAAAGCCATTTGACAGACAACAACAACCAAACAAAAACAACAACAACAGCAATACCATACCAACCACAGATCATTGCATATACATATATATACATATATATAATTTGGTTTGGGTTCTTCAAAGTACCAGCACCTCAACCGTATCGCCATTAAGTAAAACCTAATTATAAACATTACCACATTGTTGTAAATAATTTTCTAAACCGTATTTGTTAAGTCAAACAAAATACACAGCGCGTTGTTTGGCGCTCATCAACAAAAATATTGGTCGAGTTCTATTTGTTGTACTTTATTTTAAATTACATTTATTTTATTTTCCATCTTTCTCACAACACTCTGCGCGTTTACAAAATTTTAACAACAACTACCTTTTTGTTCATTTTTTGGGTGTAACCAAATTTTTGCGAAAATGTATTTTGTTTAAAAAAAAAATCAACAATATATAGAGAAAAAATATTAATAATAATAATAATAACCCAAAACAGAATCTCTCCCACTAAATAATGTTGGCCAGTGCGCCTGCAAGTATGCAAACATTTATTTGAATCGCGTTTTAGTTTCATCCCCTCATTACCAACACCAAGATCTCTCTCTCGCTCTCTGTCTATCTATCTATCTATCTCTTTCTTAATCTCTAAACCAAACAACAACAACAACTACAACAGAGAAAAATTTTAAAACAAAAAAAATAACGATAAGCAGCAGATATAATACAAAAACAAAATCCACTTTTAATTATAATTATACAGTTTAAGAACTATTATAAAATAATTTTTCTGTTTCTGTGAATCACCAACAACAACATTGTTTTTCTCTTCTTTTTTTCTTTGCGCGTTTGAACGAACAAAACTGAACAAACAAAAAAAAAAACAAAAAAAAACAAAACCAAAAAACAAACAAAACAAAAATGCAAATAAATTTACAAATTAATGAAACAATGCTAAACAATTAATAAACCAATCGAAAGGTTCGAAAGCCTGGCACATGCGACTGACCTTCGAGCGCCTCTCCGGCGGCTGCAACCTGCATCGCTGCAAGCTCTGTGGCAAGGTCGTCACCCACATCCGCAACCACTACCACGTCCACTTCCCCGGCCGCTTCGAATGCCCGCTCTGTCGTGCCACCTACACTCGCAGCGACAATTTGCGCACCCATTGCAAGTTCAAGCATCCGATGTACAACCCGGACACCCGGAAGTTCGACAACATCATGTCGGCAGCGGCGGCGGGCGCGGCCACGCCCACAGCGACACAACTGGCAGCTGCCTCGCAGGCAGCCATGGCGGCAGCGGCAGCAGCGGCGTTTAGTGCGGCGCAGCAGCAGCAACAACAACAGCAGCAGCAACAACAACAACAGCAGCAGCAGCAGCAAACCCAACAGCAGCAGCAACAGTTGCAGCAACATGCGCACGCTTTGGCTCAGCAACATATGTTGCATCAACAATTGCAGCCACAGCATCACCAGCAGCAGCAACAGCAACATAATGCCACGAGCGAATGATATAGTCAGTATTTTGGCTGGCACAACTATGGCCTGTGGAACATTGAGGAGTCAGCAACAACACCAACATCAACACCCATCAAGCAGCAACAGCAATTCGCCAACTACCAACAGCAGCAACATAAGCATTATCTTCAACAGCAACAACAACAGCAGCAGCAACAGCAACGCAAGAATCAACCTTTCACATTCTATTCACGCGATTTGTATCAACAACTCGATCCCAGGCAGCAGACACAAACAATAACAGCAACAACAAGAACAGGAGCCCTTAGCAATGGCAACATGAGACTGCAGCAACAGCAGCAGCAACAGCAGCAGCAGCAATCACAAACGATTGTGATTGATGAGAGCGACAATGAGCTTGAAGAGGTTATGCCAAGCATTAACCACTGTATGAGCCAGAGCTTCAGTCAATATATGGATCAACTGAAGCAGTATGCACCTTGTGGCACGACACTTAGTCACCATGTTGCCACCAATAACATGTGCAATATCACTAACAGGAACAACAACAACAATGGCAACAGCAATAGTGACAGTAACAGCAACAGGAGCAATGCAACAAATGCCAATCAAATGGATGCTACTACTACTAATATTAATTAAACTATTGATAACGGCAGCAATCGTTATACTAATAACTAATAATAATAATACAGCTACACCGCTAATAGACAATTGCCGCAGCCATAAACATTGGTCGGGCAGCAACAGATTGATACTCAAAATCTAGAAGAAACTTCGGCAAGTCGAAGCTTGGTATATACCTCTGCAAATTTCTATATTCTTTTATGAAATTTCTGTAATTTGTAACAGTTTACAAATTTAAACTATTAGTGAGGAGACAGAATTTAGTTGGCTTTCTGAGCAACAATCTAAATTCTAATCTATATCTGTTATCAATTAAAATCGTAAAGCAGTTCTGCAAACCATCAGTATATATTCTGTTCCGCTTCCAGCTGCTCCGATTAATTCTGTTATGAACAAAGATCGTAAAACAGCTCTGCAAACCATCAGTATGTATTCTGTTCCACTTCCAGCTGTTCCGATTACTTCTACGTGCTGAAGACATAAATTTATGCCAGCCTTTGCAGGGGTGTACTCGTAAATAGCTAAAACAAAACTAGAACCATTTGGAATCTTAAATGTTGACCATGCATTACAAAATATGATGGTAGCCAAATGTATTTGTCAATTAGTGGCATAGAAACTAAAAGGCATTCGAAGAAGGCGGGGGAGTAACAGAAACAACAAATTGCTGATCAACCTATGGTTTCAACAAAATTCAGAAATTGCAACAAAAAATGCAAAAAACAGTTTTAAAAAAATTATATAC